AAAATAAGATCCACACCAGGCGCGGTGGCTCACGCCTATAATTCTAGCACTTTGGGAGACCAAGGTGGATGGATCACCTGAAGCCAGGAGTTCAAGACCAGCCTGGCCATCATGGTGAAACCCCCTGTCTACTAAAATACAAAAATTAGCTGGGCGTGTTGGTGTGCGCCTGTAATCCCAGCTACTCAGGAGGCTGAGGCAGGAGAATCGCTTGAACCCAGGAGGCCAAGGTTGTAGTGAGCTTATATTGCACCACTGCACTCCAGCCTGGGTGACAGAGCGAGACTCCATTTCAAAAAAGGAAAAAACAAAAAGAAGATCCATGAGTAGAGTACTGCATTTGTCAGGAAAACTACTACACTAGACAAAACTTGCCTTTAATGCCCAGAGATACCTGCTGCTGTCAAAAGGTGCACAACTTAATTTTGTCTCTTTCGCTGATGTTCCCCACTATTCTGGATGAACTGAGCCCACAAACAGATCCGAAGACATCCTTCCCCACACAGAGTTGGTGATGGATCTTAGGAACCAAGTGCTATGAGCATGTGGCAAAAGGAGATCACAGGCAGACCCCACTTAGGCTCCCTCCAGCAGCCCCTTCTCCCCCAACCTTTATGTCAGTTACATCTGTGTGCTGACAGTGGGCACCCCCACAGCCACTACCGGCTGCCTTCCTCCTGGATGTCTCTGTGTGTTCGTGACTCTTGCTGGCACATCTGCAACCCCAGATTCCTCTCTCTAGCTTGCCACTCCTACATATTTTTCCCTTTTGATTCTACACCATTTGCCGTTTTTGTCTGAAAGCAGTGTTTTGGTTAACAATAACTTTGTAATGATAGCAACCACCATAGCAATTATATCCTGCTTCCTTGTATGCCTGGCATGTTTATCATTTAATCATCACAACAACATGAAGTAAATACTCTTATTGAACCGGTTTTATAGATCAGAAAACAGGCCTAGAATGGGTACGTCCCTAATGAAGGCTACTAGGCTAATAAATAACAAAGGCAAATTTTGAATCCAGGCAGTACGGTTCCAGAGTCTTTGCTTTACTACCTCTCTTTTACTCACTCTTTTTGTACTAATCTTACACTTTGCTGCATAGTTTTTGAAGGCAGTCAGAATTTAAAAGTTGTTTATTATTGCCGGTATTTATCAGTCACAGAATGAATTTATTTTTATTTTTTGAGACAGGGTGTCACTCTGTCAACAAGGCTGGAGTGCAGTGGTGTGATCACAGATCACTGCAGCCTCAACCTCCTGGGTTCAAGAGATCCTCCCTCCCTGATCACAGCTACTGGAGTAGCTGGGTCTGCAGGCGCGTGCCACCACAACCAGCTAATTTGTGTGTGTGTGTGTGTGTGTGTGTGTGTGTGTGTGTGTGTGTGTGTGTATGGGACTACAGGCTCGTGCCACCACCACAACCAGCTAATTTGTGTATGTGTGTATATATAGTCAAGACAGGGTTTTGTCATGTTGCCCAGGCTGTTCTCACTCCTGGGCTCAAGTGAGCCACCTGCCTCAGCCTCCCAAAGTGCTAGCATTACAGGCATGAGCCATCGTGCCCAGCCCGGTCACAGAGTTTAAAACTACTCTAATGCAGTATGATCCTTTACATTGCATCCACTCATTCTTTTACTTAGTCTTTACCACTTGTGTACCCAAGTAGGTCTTAGTACTGCAGTAGGCATTCCATTCAGTAATGATCACGACAGAAAATATTCCTATCCTCCTGAAGCCTGCAGGGTAATGAAAGGGACAAGGTAACACAAAAATAATATATAATCCCAGCTTGTGATAAATGTTACAAAAGAAGACAGAAAGTTGTTGTAAGACAGAAAATAATAGGAAGCTAACTTAGATTGAGGAATGACGATCAGGGAGAACTTTTCTGAGGGAGTAACATTTGAAGTTAAGGCTCTAACAGACTAATAGGAACTAACCAGCTGAAGAGGAATAGTTAGGTATGCTTTTAAAGGAACTTTTATTTCTGGAAAAATAGTAGATTAGATGTCAATATAAGTTCTGCATAAAATAATTAAAATTTTTTAATGTGGGGCTTAGTAGTAATATAAGGAAAAATTTTTGGAAGCCAGAAATTATGAGAAAGCCTGAATCCTGATATGGAAGTGTAAATTCTAAAACTGTGTTTTTTTCTCTGGCCATTTGCCAATCCCTGGTGGCCAAAACTGTGGGCTTTCATAGACCTCATGCAGGAGACAAAAGGCAAAGCCAGGACCCTAAAAGACTTCTCGGTCAATAGGTAAACTAGGAGAAGAAAGCCCATCCCCTTCATAAACCTGTTCTTCCCACAGACATGTGGGAAGTTGAGATAATTGCCTGTCTTGGCCTTAGTGCTTGAATGGGTGGGAGCCATATACATCAATTATATTTTTATATGCAAATACATTTCATCATAAAAAGAAAAATATAAAACTCTTTAGACAAGAAATACTATATTGTAATACTATATTGCAAGACAAGAAATACTATATTTCTTCAATAGGTGAGGAAGATATTTTCTTACCCTCTCTCTATCAATAGGTGAGAAAGGTATTTTGCCTTTTTCAGAAAAAGAAAAGGCTGATACACATAGAACAAAATAAGTGCTGGGAAATGAGGTTGGAGATGAAGCCAGGGACCAGAATCATGCAGGTCCTCAAAGGACTTGGTTAAAATTTTGAATTTTATCCTAAGTACAATGCAAATCTTTTGAAGGGTTCCTCTCTAAGGATGGAAGTAGGGAGGACACTCCAGCAGTAATCCAGGTGAGAGGGAGACCTGACTTGGATTAAAGGAAACTGGAAGAAATAAATGGATTCAAGGTACATTTTGAAAGTAAAGTGTATCTAGTCTGCTGATAAATTAGATGAAAGACTTGAGAGCAAGTAAAATATAAAGGATTATTCCTAAGCACCTGACTTGAAAAGCTGCTTGTCCAGAAGTCTTTTTCTGAGCTGAGGAAGTCAGGAAGAAATTTGGAGAGGGGAATGATCAAGAGTTCAGTTTTAGAAATACAAAGTTTGATAAGTTAAGAATGCTAATGGAGATAGTACCACTCTTTGGTATAATAGAGCTAAAGAGGTTTTAAAATATTTTTATTTAGTTGAACTCATAATTGAACAAGCCAGGATGTAACGATAATGAAAATTTACTTTTTACAGGCAATCCAATTTGTAGTAAATTTCACTGAGAGGCAAATTTTTTAAGTAGTAGAATTTCATTGTAATAAATACATCATTTATTTAAACTCACATTCCTAAGACACAAGAACTGGATGAATCTGCAGATAAAGTAAAATATTAGGAGAAAGACACTGTGGCAGAGATTGGCTAACTGTTCACCAAATCTATTTTCTTTTCTTTCTGCTGACGCAGCTGGATTGTATTTCCCAGCCTCCTCTGGCTTCTAAAATTACTTTCTTTTCTGTTTTATAAGATGATGATAAAATCTGTTCTCATAGGGATTGTGATGAACAAACCTAAAATCAGTTCTGAATTGTCAAGAGTGAAATTAAAATTCATATTTAGTCTAGGCATGTGACTGAGACTGGGCCAAGGAATAAGGATGAAAGTGATGGACATTTCTTCCTTTGGTCTGATTTTTTTTTTAAATTTCCTTATACAGCTTTCATGCTGTCTGTCCCTTGTGTCAACTGATATTGGCACCCAAAGTGACCTTGGAAGCCACATGTTGAGGGTGACAGAATCACCATCAGTTGAAATTCCTAAATTGACTGCATAGTTCAGAATCCCCATGCCTGCTTTTCTGCCATCTGAATTTTGCATGAACAAAAAAAATAAACTATTATTTTAAATCATTCAGATTTTGTAATTAAACTGCTTCAGCAGCTAGCATGCATTAAAAGATGTTAATTTTCTTTCAAGGTGGTATCAAGAACATAATTTTATTCCCATTCATATCTTTCTCTCTCTTTGTTTTCAGTATGTATTTTCTGTCATACATGACCAGGCAATTTGAGTAGATTAGGATGTTGGGAGTTTTGTACAGGGAGTGAGGGAAGTTAACATGCTTGAGGCATGAGAGAGGAGTTGAAGGATATAATTTCTTTCTGTGCTCCATTCAAGATAACCCTCTTTTTCTCTCTCCCTCTCTCTGACTCAGTAATTCATTTCAAAGATATATTCTTGGCCGGGTGCAATGGCTCACGCCTGTAATCCCAGCACTTTGGGAAGCTGAGGCAGGTAGATCACCCGAGGCCAGGAGTTTGAGACCAGCCTGGCTAACACGGTGAAACCCCACCTCTGCTAGGAATACAAAAATTAGCAGGGCATGGTGGCGGGCACCTGTAATCCTAGCTACTCAGGAGGCTAAGGCACAAGAATCACTTGAACCTGTAAGGTAGATGTGGCAGTGAGCCAAGATTGTACCACTGCACTCTAGCCTGGGTGACAGAGTGAGACTTTGTCTCAAAAAAAAAAAAAAGACGTATTCTTTTATTGCTATTTCTTTCCACCTGCTAATAGCACCCTCCTTGTAAAACTGAGACTTGACAATCTTGATCTCTCTCTTCTTGCCCAGTTTAATAATCAAGTTTATACACTGGGATACAAAATAATCATAAATCAAAGTTGAGAAATATGTTTTCTTCCTTTGTACATATGATAATAGATTTCACAGTTTCTCTTGTAGTAAACACTTTTGGAAAATATGCAAAGTGTGACATATCTCTGGTAGGACATGCTGCAGCCGGAACATGCCCTCTGTATCTTTGGCCAGTGGATTCACCATTTAGACATATGCTGACATTGTTCTTTTTAATTTACTTCTCAGACTTTTTGCATTGTTGGCTTCACGGCTCCTCCTCTTGAGGGAAGTTATGAGGTAAATTCAGTTCCATATGCTGAATACCCAGCATGATTTCTGGCAAAATGATGCTATAAGCGCTCTGTAACTCTTTGGATGAAAACCAAATGAATGCTAAATGTAGTATGGTATGTATCTGACTAATAAGAATAATGTTCCAGGCTGGGCACAGTGGCTCATGCCTGTATTCCCAGCACTTTGGGAGGCCAAGGCGGGCATATCACCTGAGATTAGGAGTTCGAGACCAGCTTGGCCAACATGGTAAAACCCCGTCTCTACAAAAAATACAAAAATTAGCTGGGTGTGGTTGTGCATGGCTATAATTCTAGCTAGTTGGGGAGCTGAGTTAGGAGAATGGCTTGAACCCAGGAGGCGGAGGTTGCAGTCAGCCAAGATCATGCCATTGCACTCCAGCCCAGGCAACAAGAGCGAAACTCTATAAAAGAAAATAAAATAATGCTCCTTATAGAATGAATTTTCTGTATTATTCACTATAAAGAATTTCTTTTTAACCACATCAGTAATATGTCCATAAGTTACAGGTCATTACCTGGAAATTGAAAATATTTTTATGAAAATCTTCTCATTATGATGTTTATTGTGTAAGGATCTCACTTAAGTTTATATCACCTTTGATGAATATATCCTTAACGTGTGTACTCTAAAAAATTACCAGATTATTTTATGATTGGTAGAGTTCATAATTTTGCAAGAACTGGGCAAATCTCACACACAGGGACAGGTGGAAGAGCATTCCCCCAGGGGAGCTTTAAAGGAGTACATTCTGGCCCTGTGGAGAATTGCCTCTTCTTCAATTCCAGTGGCATATGGTTAGATTTGGGCAAACAAATGCTATGCCAAATATGGCATTTATTGTCTCAGTTCAGATGCCAGGCCAGGCTGAAGTTTACAGCTGTGTCCTGGTTGAAATTCTAAAACAATAGGAGTCTATTCTCTTAATCTAGTATACCCCTAATCTAGAATGCTGGGATTATTGGCATCTAGAATTATTTTCTTTCCTATTTTATAGGACGATAATAAAACCTATTCCCATAGGGATTGTGATAAGCAGAACTGAATTCAGTTCTGAATTGTCAAAAGTGAAATAAAAAAGCTTTTGTCTGTGTGGTCTTAGGTGGCAGAAATGTAATTATAAGTAAGCCCTAATTTATTCTAGGTATGCTAGAGTTTGACCCTAGTGAATGTATGGTATCTTTATAAACTAGCAGTAGTAGCTATTTGATATAATTCTTTCCAAAAAGTTTCTAGCTGGCCAGGCTAAGTTCTCATGCCTTTGGTGGTATAGCATATGGACATTTATCTTGGCAGTGATTACATGTAAGTATAAAAGAAATACTTAAAATGCAGTAAAACGGGCAAATCTGTTTCAGAAGACTAATGTTTCTTGCTAATCATAGAGTACCTAGGATAACATGCATAATGTTGGTCATCGAAACTGAGGAAAGCTTAACTATTATACTATATTGGATAGGCCTAATCTAGAAGTCTCTGTATAACCAGAGTCCTTTCTTTTCTTTTCTTTTTTAAGACGGAGTTTCACTCTTGTTGCCCAGACTGGAGTGCAATGGAGCGATGTCAGCTCACTGCAACCTTCATCTCCCAGGTTCAAGCGATTCTCCTGCCTTGGCCTCCCAAGTAGCTGGGACCACAGGCATGTGCCACCATGCCTGGCTAATTTTGTATTTTTAGTAGAGACAGGGTTTCACTATGTTGGTCAGGCTGTTCTTGAACTCTTGACCTCAGGTAATACGCTTGCCTTGGCCTCCCAAAGTGCTAGGATTACAGGTGTGACCCAGCCTCCAAGAGTCCTTTTCTAAGAGGTCTTACCTGTAGCCTCTTGCTAAGGACACCAACTCTAGGCAGATACACATAGGTGGCCATATTGCATGACTTTACCATCTTGACTACATCTCAGAAAATGGGACCTAAAGCAGTCAGGTAGCTTGAAGCTGACAGATTTAATGACCTAGTACACGTATTTTATCTAACTGATGATAGTGACATAGTGGACTGATCAGATGTTCTCTCTTAGGAAATGTTTAATTTGAAATAGCATTATTTGATAGCCAACACCAATTGCTTAACCAGAAAAAAAAAAAAAAAAAAAAAAAAGGACAGACAAAAATGACATGAGTCAGCAGAAGCCATGAATAAACAAGAGTGACAAGTAGGAGCTAGGTCATGAACTTTTTTACGTGTGTGTGTGTGTGTGTGTGTGTGTGTGTGTGTGTTGGTGGGGGTGAGGGTAGATACAAATATTTAAATTGTATCTGTACGGGAAGAGGATGGTCAACAAATTATTGCTGCCAAAGGGATAAATATCTACATCATTACTTATCTACTGGATTCTGAACAACTTGAAATTACAACTTGAAATTCTCCATCTATGTTCCTGTACTCTCATGAGACCTGGTTAAACGACTTTCCATGAGCTTCCATAAGGCCTAGCCACACAACATACCTCTGTTCCTTATTTTCATGTGAAACCTTACAATAACTGTTTCCGGTTACCCCTCTCGCATACACATCCACACACAGATACTTGAGACAGCTTTAGTGAGTCTTTATTCTTTGTAGTCAGAGGATCCTAATTTACACGACTACTCTATGAGTTTAATGTTTTTTATTTTGGCTTTGTTGCCAAGGCAGGGACCAATGAACAGTAACAGTTTTGTGGCCACCCAAGAACATACTGACCTTGAATAAGAAAAAGCAATGTATATAATCCTAATTGTTTAAGATAGGTGATGCATTATAGGGAGGGCTCAGAGAAAGATGGCTAACACGAATAACACATGTTGCCACTGAGGAGACTACACAGAAATGTGCATTTAGCAAAACAGCTTTAGAACAATATTTTTTCTTTCTCCCCTAGTAGATTATCAGTTCCTGAAGCACTTATCTTGGTATCTCTCACCAATTCCCAGAAGAAGGCTTTGTATATAATAGGTGAAATACTATTGAGTATGTAATATGGCCCAGCTATGGTTCTGTCTTAAGGTTTAGTAGCAGCTTTGAACTGCCTGGTAAAAATATTTTTTCAGGCAGACTAAACTGAACTGAAGAGAGAGACACAGGTTAGAGACAAGAGTTGGAATTCCAGAAACTTCTGGGAGAGGTAGATATAGACAGTATAGAACACGCAAAAAATGATGGGAGGAATTTCAAGGAACCAGATAGTATATGCATAATGTTGGTCATCAGGACTGAGGAAAGCTTAACAATTATACTATATTAGATAGGCCATTCTCATTTAGGGGACTAAGGACCAGAACATACTGTTATCTAGAACATCTGCAGAGCACAGAACAGCATAGCCTTTGGCAAGAAAGCATGACAAAGAATATGGGATAGAAGAGGAGAATTGGCAAAAGATAAATTCTAGATTCTGATTTTAAAATGACGGAACAAAGATTACTGCATTATTTTCCTTCTTCCTTACAAATTATCCAGCTGCACTAAGAGAACAAAATGGTGGAAACTTGAACCCCTATCTTCAAAAAAAGATACATGTGCAACCCCAGACTACAAAATGTGATGAAGAATGATAAATGCAGTTAAAAATGCCCACAGCTATCGATCTCACACAAAGCTGGCAGAACTTTCTAGGGGGCAAAACCAATAATGCCCAATTTAGATTATGGGATAGGATTTGGCAGCAGGAGCTTTCTTGGCCTTCCTAGGGTATAAAGAAGCAGCAGGGGGCCGGGCACGGTGGCTCACACCTGTAATCCCAACACTCTGGGAGACCGAGATGGGAGGATCACCCAAGGTCAGGAGCTTGAAACTCCATCTCTACTAAAAATACAAAAAAAAAAGAAATTAGCTGGGTGTGGTGGCGGGCACCTGTAATCCCAGCTACTTGGGAGGCTGAGGCAGGAGAATAGCTTGAACCCAGGAGACAGAGGCTGCAGTGAGCTGAGATTGAGCCATTACATTCCGGCTTGGGCAATGGAGTGAGACTCTGTCTCTAAAAAAAAAAAAATAAAAAGCAGCGGGGTAATATAACAGACTCAATGAGGAATCACATACACAAGATGGAAGACATGGAAAAACACAAAAAAGTAGAGATTATATCTTTATTGTCAGACAAGATGGAATTTAGAGGAAAAACTTTAAGCAAGGCAATGAGGGATAATTCAAAGCAGCAGTAGGGCATTAAGCATCCATAAAGCAAAAACTACAGAAAATATAAAGACTAATAGTTACATAGTCATGATAAGAAATGTTTATTCACTTCTGTTAGTTCATAAGAGATCAGGTGGACAACAACTAAGAGAAAGAAAACCCAGGCTGGGCCCGGTGGCTCACACCTGTAATCCCAGCACTTTGGGAGGCCTGTGTGGGCAGATCACAGGTCAGGAGTTTGAGACCAGCCTGGCCTGGACCAACCCCGTCTCTACTAAAAACACAAAAATTAGTTGGACATGGTGGTGCCTGCCTGTAATCCCAGCTACTCAGGAGGCTGAGGCAGGAGAATCGCTTGAACCAGGGAGTCGAAGGTTGCAGTGAGCAAGACGGTGCCCTTGCAATCCAGCCTGGTGACAGAGTGAGACTCTGTCTCAAAAAAAAAAAAAAAAAAAAAAAAAAGAAAGAAAGAAAGAAAGTGCAAATAATAAAATAATGAATGAAGTAAATATTTGGTATTTGTCAAGCTTTGTATCCTGAAAACTAAGAATGTCAAATTCACAAAAATGGCTGGACACAGTGGCTCTCACCTATAATGCTAGCACTTTGGGAGGCCGAGGCAGGTGGATCACCTGAGGTCAGGAGTTCAAGACCAGCCTGACCAACATGGAGGAAAAAATTTTTTTTTATAAAAATAGACCATAAAGAAAATTTCATCATTCTCAACCATCATTCTCAGCAAACTGACACAAGAACAGAAAATCAAACACCGCATGTTCTCACTCATAGGCGGGTGTTGAACAATGAGAACACATGGACACAGGGAGGAGAACATCACACACTGGGGTCTGTTGGGGTGAAATAGGGGAGGGATGGGGGGGTGGGTAGTTGGGGAGAGATAGCATGGGGAGAAATGCCAGATATAGGTGAAGGGGAGGAAGGCAGCAAATCACGCTGCCAGGTGTGTACCTATGCAACAATCATGCATGTTCTTCACGTATAACCCAAAACCTAAAATGCAATTAAAAAAAAGAAAAAAGTGATAAGATTAAATTCCCCCAGAGATCGAATGTTATGTAGATTTCTATTTATGAAGAAGAAAATGATAAAGAAATAGGAAGAAGATTACATTTCATTTTGCCTGCCTTGTTTTGCCAGTAGTTTGTTTTGAGCTTATCTTCAGTTGTTTGGAAGAAACCTAATTGCTTAATACACAGGAAAGGGCCTCATTCACAATTCTGTCATCATGAGTACTACAGAATCTGTTATGAGTAGGTTGGTTTTTAATACATAGGAAAGTGTAAGGAAATTTCTATTATGGCTCAATATTTGTTTGAATTGGTAAGTGCTGCTTGGTATTTAGTAACTCAGGAAACTCTTGAGTTCAATGGGCAACTGGGAATGCAGCAAGTAGAGTTCCATGTTGAACCTTGGTGATATTCATATCCAAATCATACGTTACCCACCAGGAGAAATGAAAATTTATTTTTATTTGTATTTACTCATTCCATATTGAGCTCATTCATATGCCAGACACTATGTTGACCCTAGCTATATAAATTAGAAGCAGGCAGTTTTGCCATTCTCGACATTAGAAACAAGAGGGGAAAAAAAAAAAGAAAAATGGAAAATGCACACACCAGTAATCTGTTCTTAATTTAGATTATATCAGCTATAAGAACACTTATCAAATGCCTTTCTGAATAGGGATTTGGAAAGACAAGTTAATTATTAAAGACAAGCCTTGGGGAGTCTTATAAAAAAAATCACAAAAAAAAATTTCAAAGAATTTCAAAAGGCAAAGTAAACATAAACAGCATTCTCTGATCTCATTGCAATAAAACTAGAACTTAAGAAAAAGAATACTATCACCTGGGCATTTTTAAATTTCTACTAAAATAATTCTTAGATCACAGAGGAAACCAAACAAGTTATAGAACATCTCAGACAAAAGCATAATGAAAACACTATACATTAGAACTTGTGGAGCAGAGCTAAAATAGAGTTCAGAAGCCCTTATCTTTTTTTTTTTTTTTTTGAGGCAGAGTTCCGCTCTTGTTACCCAGGCTGGAGTGCGGTGGCGTGATCTCGGCTCACCGCAACCTCCGCCTCCCGGGTTCAGGCAATTCTCCTGCCTCAGCCTCCTGAGTAGCTGGGATTACAGGCACGCGCCACCACGCCCAGCTGATTTTTTGTCTTTTAGTAGAGACGGGGTTTCACTGTGTTGACCAGGATGGCCTCGATCTCTTGACCTCGTGATCCACCCGCCTCAGCCTCCCAAAGTGCTGGGATTACAGGCTTGAGCCACCGCGCCCGGCTCAGAAGCCCTTATCTTAATGAAGAAAGAACATAACTGCATTGAATATCTGACTCAAAGTTAGAAAAGCTATCAATAAAAATAAAAAAGCAAAAGAAGGGAATAAAAGTAGAAGTTAATAAATTAGCCAAAAATTGATCACATAAATAAAAAAGCTGATTATATTTTTAAATGGGATATTAAGTTTATAAAATAAAAAAGTAGACAGCACAGAGCATAAACAGAAATAATGGGGATGCCGGGCACAGTGGCTCAAGCCTGTAATCCCAGCACTTTGGGAGGCCAAGGCGGGTGGATCACGAGATCAAGAGATCGAGACCATCCTGGTCAACATGGTGAAACCCGAACTCTATTAAAAATACAAAAATTAGCTGGGCATGGTGGCGCATGCCTGTAATCCCAGCTCTCAGGAGATTGAGGCAGGAGAATTGCCTGAACCCAGGAGGCGGAGGTTGCGGTGAGCCGAGATCGTGCCATTGCACTCCAGCCTGGGTAACAAGAGCGAAACTCCGTCTCCAAAAAAATAATAATAATAATAATAGTAATAATAATAATAATAATAATGGGGGAATGTTAGAAATAGAGATCCTACGAAAATATTTTGCTCAATCCTGTGCAAATTAATTTAAGAACCTGAAAGAAGCCGGGCGTGGTGGCTCACACCTGTAATCCAAGCACTTTGGAGGCCAAGGCGGGCGGATCACCTGAGGTCAGGAGTTCAAGACCAGCCTGACCAACATGGTGAAACCCCGTCTTAAAAAAAAAAAAAAAAAAGAAAATACTAAAGAACCTGAAAGAAATGGATGATTTTCTAGGAAAGTTGAAATGATCAATACTAACCTCAGATAACTAGAAAATCTAAACTATTTATCATAGAATAACTTTCTCTCTCTCTTTTTTTTGGATATAGGAAGTTCTTTATTTTATCATGTGAAACCATGTAACAGCTGCCTAACCACAATGTAGATATCAATAGAAGATGGCTTAGAAATAACAGGACTAGTGATTCAACTAGTGACCATTATGACAAAAGACATGAAGTTTTCACTGATTTACAGAAGTTTTAAAATGCATTTTAGCCGGGCGCAGTGGCTCACACCTATAATCCCAGCACTTTGGGAGGCCTAGGTGGGTGAATCATTTGACGTCAGGGGTTGGAGACCAGCCTGACCTCAAACAGTGGTGAAACCCTTTCTCTACTAAGAATCCCAAAAAATTAGCCAGGCCTGGTGGTGGGCGCCTGTAATCCTAGCTACTGGGAAGCTGAGGCAGGAGAATCACTTGAACCCAGGAGGCAGAAGTTGCAGTGAGCCAAGATCGTGCCACTGCACTCCATCCAGCCTGGGTGACTGAGTGAGACTCCGTCTCACAAAAAAAAAGCATTTTATATTGAGTAGTGATTTCATGTTTTCTTAAAAGAATTATTGTGTTAAACCAAAAATAAACTAGGTATAGTTTGGTCACATAACCAATCTATATTCAAAGACATGCTCACAGATTTTCCACTTAGTCCATTTTTCTGTTCTCAGCATTACTACAAATGCCTCATTCCCTCATGTTGAATTCTTCAGCATCTCCTATGTCAGTTCCAGGGATATCTCTGGGAAGTAGTGATGCCCATCTTCCCTCAGAAGCACGCTGATAACCCTCATATACACACAGTTCATACCTTTTCCCTCTTCTGAGGTGTGCTGCTTTTTGGCACAACAGAAAATACACACTACTAGGATTTGAAAACCTAAAATCTGGGCCTGGTTACGTCATAAACTACAGAAACTTAGGTCTTATCCTCCACAGGCACCTTTTTCGCCACTGCAAAAGATAATTTATATTTGCTTTGTCTTTTGTAGTCATTTATTTATCTTCATGATAACCCTTAAATTTAAGTAAGGTAGCATTATGCTCATTTTATAGAAGAAATTCAACCTCAAAGAGGATACAGTCTCCCAAAGATCCTGCAGTACTAATATATCAGGCAGAGCTAAATTCACACAATGTCACTCAGGATCCTAGGACTGCTACATGCTGTGCTAATAAGTTTGCTAAAATGGAGGAAGCGGCAATTTGTCAAGTCCCTTTCAGTGATTCTGTTCTCTGCTCCTACTTGCTGTTTTTTCTCTCTTCCCTCAACTACTGTTAACATCTGAAACTATATATAATCACCAGGTTTCATTTGCCATAGTTTTTTACTTAATTATTCTTTAAGTTTTTCTATTTCCATGTTAAATCCAGGGAAATGTTACTTTTCAAAAGTTTCTACTGCTGCCTGCCTCTGAAGGCCATGGGACTTACATATTTGTTTATCAAAGCAAAAATTCCCAACATTTTGTAAACATCACTAATGTGTTTTTATAACTGTAAAGACAATTATTCCATACTTAAAACCAATTCAAAATAAAGTAAATCCTCGATACTTCTTATTTCCTGGAGTAGTAATTTTAATTAGATTCTATTGGTTCGTAATTTTCTCCTTTGTGCCTTTATTTGGGAAATACTGTTAGTCTACCTTGCTATTAAGTCTCTTTCCCTAACAAGAAAATGTCAATCTTAAAGAGTCAGGAAAGCTTTTACTTTCACTATCACATATGAAGAATGAACTAAACACTTAAACTGAAAAGTAAAACTTAAATGAGGGATTCAAGACATTTCCCAAAGGGTCATATGACCAATTTACAAGTTGGTATGATGTGCCTAAAATAACACATTAACTCTTTTACTTGTAATAAAGGTAAAGATGTACTGATTAGTCATGCTGACATGTACATATGAAATATGCCTAAACCAAATTAAAAGAAAATACATTCTATGGCAATCCTGAAAAGTCAGGAGCTCAATAAATATTAAGAGTATGCTCTCACAATTTGAGAGCGTTAAACACTTGATAATTAACATAGTTTAATATGCAAAAAATGAGAAAATATGCAGGATGAGGAGTACACATAGGACATTTTTGTGATTTTCTTCATTTTGATTGTGTTGCTTTCTTGTCTTCAGGAGGGAAGATTTGGTCTTCAAAAGTAACAAAATATTTAAGAAGGAAATTCACATCTTTCTGTTCTAAATGGTATTCTTGGGCTATTTTCTCAGCAGTCCATATTTCTGGGTAAAGTTTATGATTATTGAGAAGTGTCAGTGCTTCTACAGTGGAAATTTTGCCTTTGGGAATGCTCTTAATATTTATCATATCAAAGTCATGGCCGAAAGGCAATCTGAATTCCTTTGTCTCTTGATGTGTTTCAGTAGCTTTTACCTGCACAGAAGATACAGGGTCTTTGGAATCAATATACACATCTTTTAGAAATGATAGTAGCTTGTCATCTTTATGAGCAATCTCTCCCTTAATTTCTGGATATAGACTAATCTGCTCTCACAGGAGGCTGTTGGTAGAGGGGTGCCTGGGAGCAGGAGAGGGCTTCATCTTGCTGATTCCCCGTTTCGCTCGGTTCTCTAGGTTGAAATTCCTGATCCTGCGAGTCATTGCAGCCCCCATCTGCTCATAACATGATGCCCTCAGGTTCACACCGCACGTGGGAACACAGGCGCAAGAAACCTCCAGGGCACCTGAGAATAACTTTCTTCTACTGAGGCCTTGGTGATTTAACAGGGGAATTCTGCCAAACCTTTCAGGAATAAATCAGTCCAGTCCTCCCAAACACATACGCTTTAATAAATGTGGATATCTCTGGAAGGACACATGAGAAATTAGTAAACAGTTATTATTCCCAGGGAATGGAGCTGGGGCTGAGGGACAATATTAGAAAGAAGTCTTGCTTTTTCCTGTATATCTTTTATGCCTTTTCTATTTTGTACCATTTGCATACGGTACTCATCCAAGTATGTGGAATTTAGAACATCTTTGTTTTACATTTGAACAAGTTGACAACACTATTTGACGTTTGTTCTTATGTTTACCTTTAGTTCTCAGTAAATGTAGTAGGCGTAATTTCTTAAATACCTCTCTCCCACAAAGATGTCCACCGTAATTCCTGCAACCATCATGAATGTGATGCTGTATTACCGATTCTGTGATTATGTTATGCGATATGGCACAGTTGACCTTATAATAGGGAGATTCAAGCCTAGATTATCTCGGTAGGCCTGATGGAATCATATGAGCCTTAAAAGCAGAGAGCTTTCTTTAGCTAATGGCAGGAGGGAAAATCAAAGAGACTGGAAGTATGAGAAGAATGCAATGTGCAATAGCTGCTTTGAAAATGGAGGAGACCACTTGAGAAAGAAGGCAAGTAGCTTTGAAGAGCTAAGCGCAGCTCCCAGCTTACAGCTAGGAAGGAAACTGGTCAAATTCCTGCAACTTCAAGGAACTAGCTCTGTCAACAACCTGAAGGAGGTTGAGAGTGAATTCTTCCCCAGTCTCCAGATAAGAATCCAGCCCAACAGGCATCTTGATTTCAGCTTTGTGATACCCTGAGCAGAGCCCCGCAGAGCCCACTTGGGACTCCTGTCCTACGGAGATGTGAGATACTAAATGGATGTTGTTTTTAGCTGCTAAATTTGTTATATAGGAGTAGAAACTAATAGAGCAAAATGACGTCCTAAACCTTAGATACATGTGGGCTTTCAGAGGCTTTAGCAATGGGAGCTGTCTTCCCTCCCGTCTGGGTGTGGTGGGTAGTGCCAAAGCACTGCAGAGCGCGTAGGACAGGGTCATGGGTCAGTCAGAGACCACATCATTTCCTCTGGTGCCGTAAGTCGAATATGCTCTGCTGTCTTTTCATTACTTTCTTCGATTTTGTAGAGAATGAATTTTTATACCTGTCTCAGTCTTTTCCTCTTTTCAAATTATAGTCTTAGAAGCAATTTTTTGGCATTTCTGTTTTAAATAATATTGTATTTTCAATGAAGAAGTTGGCATTTATTTTTCGTTTTTTTTTGCTTTTGCTTTTTGAGATAGGGCCTTGCACTGTCGCCCATGCTTGGAGTACGTGCAATCACCACTTACTGCAACCTTGACCTTCCAGGTTCAAGCACCCTTCCCATCTTAGCCTCCTGAGTAGCTTGGATTACAGACTCTGCCACCATGCACAGCTTTTTTTTTTTCCTTCTTCTTCTTTTTGGTAGAGACACAGTCTCCCTGTGGTTGCCCAGGCTGGTCTCAAACTCCTGGGCTACAGCAGTCCTCGCACCTCAGCCTCCCAAAGTGTTGGGATTACAGATGTCAGCCAGTACACCTGGCCTTTTCTTTGGATATCTTAGAAAATTAACTCCTACCTTTCTAAAAATTCCTGGGTTTATATGATTGGGATTTAAATGGTCATGAGAGAAATTCCTGATATGGTAGTGCAGTCAAGTAACACTGGAATTCTTTGACTACTTTCGTTTTTCTAGAGTTTTACTTTAATTAACCCAATTTTGTTCCATTGACAGTTTTATCCAAGACTGAATAAACATATTTTTACCTTTTAAGTTGCTCTATACCAGAACATACCTTTCAATTAATTCTTTTAATTTAACAGTGTGGGAAGCCATTATTTACTTTTTATTTAATTGATTGTACTTTTGTACACTTTTACCTGGAAAAAGTAACTTTGAGAACCACAGAGAAGAAATATATCTGTAAAGGTCACTGAAGAGTGTCAGAGCACTCGAGAGTATGGGGAATTGCTTCTGTGATTCCTATCACTTCACATTCTGCGTAGAAAAAGCACTCAACAGAAATGCTGCAAGTCAGCGTCAGGATTCCATAGCAAGTGCAATAAGACTATGAATCTCTGATACTGAGTTTTTATGCTTTTTCTTTTTGCTAGTAAGTTACATAGTCCAGTTTTTCTTTCTTAGATGACTTCGGAGGCTTGTTGTAAGCCTGCTGAGGTCAGAGAATGCTTCTGCCTTATATACACTGTATAAGTTATAAAAAGATTTATCTATGATAAAAGTGGAACCCGGCTGGGCATGGTGGCTCACACCTGTAATCCCAAAATTTTGGGAGACTTAGGCAGGCAGATCACTGAGGCCATGAGTTCGAGACCAGCCTGGCCAACATGGTGAAACCCCATCTCTACTAAAAATATAAAAAATTAGCTGGGTGTGATGGTGCATGCCTGTAATCCCAGCTACTTGGGAGGCTGAGGCAGGAGAATTGCTTGAACCTGGGAGGCAGAGCCTGCAGTGAACTAAGATCATGCCACTGCACTCCAGCCTGGGTGACAGTAAGACTTGGTCTCAAAAAAATTTTAAAAAGTGGCCAAGCACAGTGGCTCATGCCTGTAATCCCAGCACTTTGGGAGGCCAAGGTGGGTGGATCACAAGGTCAGGAGTTAGAGACCAGCTTGGCCAACATGGTGAACCCCCATCTCTACTAAAAATACAAAAATTAGCTGGGCGTGGTGGCGTGTGCCTTTAATTTCAGCTACTCAGGAGGCTGAGGTAGGAGAATCGCTGGAACCTGAGAGGCGAAGGTTGCAGTGAGCCAAGATCGCACCACTGCACTCCAGCCTGGGTGACAGAGCGAGACTCCATCTCAAAAACATAAATAAATTAATTAATAGTAATAGTAATAAATGAAAATAAAAAAAGGAGAACCTATGAAGGAAAATTTTAAAAACTGATTTTAATTACTATAAAAGAGTGTCGCTAGTAGAAAAAGTGTTTCTATATTGTTAGGATAATCAAGTTTCTTTAAAGATAATATTGATTATTTTTAGCAGAAGATTGTTATTTATCTTTAGGAAATGGAATTAAGTGTTTTACTTTGTTTTGTTTTTAATAAGATCTTTCTAAAATGAATGAGACTGTATTATTGCTGACTCCGTTGTGCATTGAGGCATTTAGAGTAGCAAAAATTATATTAGTGGTCTATGCCAAAACACGTAAAATGGCTTTATCACTGGTCTCCATTATAAAAAGGTAATAATTTGCATAATGTGATAAGAATACCACTTGAAAGAAAGGAGGCTGGGTTTTTGTTTTGTTTTGTTTTTATATCCAATAAAATATGACTGACATCATCTAGTCAAATTATACTGAGCTTTATTTCCTGTGTAAACCGTATTTTACAAATATTATTTTAAAAGAAATTTAAATCTGCTGGGCGTAGGTTTCAGAGTTATACATAACTCACAAGTGAGCTGTGTGAGGTGAGTTCCTTAAAAATCATACTCCTAGGTCTCATTTCAAAGGCTAGCTTTGTTGCAAGGCCCAGACTTGGCTTTGGTAGATTATTTTCTAAGATACCTCTTGATGAACTTTGCTAAAGAAAGGGAGGTATGGTACAGATCACCTCATAGTCATGTGTGGCTCTCTCTTGTGTTTGGGGTTTTCCTCTGGCATGTTTATCTTCTGAATAATGCTTCTCTTAGGCTAAATATAGTTTGAACCCTCTACCTTATAACAGATGTGACAGAGGAATGCTGATGGTCAACAATGATGTACAGTTCACAAAGATAAAGAAGCATAATGAATGTCAGATTGCAGGCTGCCCATGGTACATCCAGCATCAGCATACTAATTTGCTTTAACTAATTTGGATCTCTGCAGCTTTGGGACAGTATTGCAAATAGGTGGCATAACAAGCTTAAATAACAGATTTCTGTCACTTTACAAAAGTCTCATATTTGTCACAGTAATATTATTGACCTCATGATTTTGTTTTTATTTCTTGTTCATTGACTTCATGAATGGTTTGGCAGGAAAGCAGGTAATACAGTTGCATACCTTATATTACATACGTGCTGAGGTTAGAGAATGTCACAGAGGTGTGCCCTTATTCATAAAACACTAAGGGAAGTGCCTTATTGTGTTTTATTAAGCAAAGACCTTTCATTGTAAAAAGTGAGATTATTCTTTTAGAAACTATATTAATTACTGAAGGGAATTGTGAGCAATAATACGTTTTGGATTCATAAGTGCCAAATGCTCATCTCACTAGATGACTATTATTCCTAATATTTTTCCATTACCTAGTTTTAACTCAGGAAATCAGTTAGACCCTTAAGGGCCTAAGCAAGCAGGAAATGTGATAGATTTATAGATTCCACCAGTGAATTAGAAATACCTTTTGCCTTTTAAATTATAACTGCAGTAGGCTCAATATAAATGCCTTTTTTTTTTTTTTTTTTTTTAAGACAGAGTCTCACTCTGTCACCCAGGCTGGAGTGCAGTGGCATGATCTTGGCTCACTGTAAGCTCTGCCTCCCAGGTTTGAGTGGTTCTCTTGCCTCAGCCTCTTGAGTAGCTGGGATTACAGGGCACACCACCACATTGGCTAATTTTTAATAGAGACGAGGTTTTGCCATATTGGCCAGGCTGGTCTCGAACACCTGACCTGAAGTGATCCACCCACCTCCGCCTTCCAAAGTGCTGGGACTACAGGAGTACGCCACCACACCCATCCCATAAATGCTTTTTTAAATGCTCCCTCTTCCTTTCCTATGTAAACCCTTTTCAAATTCTATTTTCCCTGTGATAACAAAGAACAAATTACATAAAACCAGGAAGCCTGATTTTATATGAAGTGTGGAAAGTTGAATTACCATTAAGCCTAATTCTAGTAGTAGAGATCAATCTATTTCCGGCCTTATTCTGGAGGGTC